ATTTATGTACATACGTTAACTTTAGAGTTTTATATTGGCATCCCAGTAGTAAGACTCTGAACGGCACTATGTTGTTTGTTCTGCTTAGTCACGATCTGAAAATAAATTCCACATAACTAAGCATGAATTGACCATTGTTCCAAATAAATTCATGTCTGAGCCATGATATTGCTCTGTTATTAAGTAGTAAATATGACTAAAATAGATATAATTATGATATAATTATAGAGTATAACCAAGAGTAAGGTCTTGTCCTCATTAACTTCAGTAGACTAACTAATATTGTGCATGACCGGTGAATTTTCCTAAGTAGAAAACTAATACAATTACATATACTTGAGCACATTTATCTTCTTAAAACAAGCTGTCTTTATGAAAATTTGTCATTGTCACAGGTGCTTCATTTTAACCAGACTGGAAGAGAAGAAGGTTCTTCTGAGACAAGGCCTTCTCTGGGGAGACCAAGGAACAGAGAAATGGTATGTATTACAACAAAACACTCAGAGAATTAAATGTCATTCTCCTTTTAGATGGCTCAGGATGAATCCTCAGGATAAATCATTATGTCCACATTCATTTTAGTAATTCACTGACTTTCTAAGTTGTAGCAAGGTCTGCCTGATGTGGTCCTCCAGACATCTCTCTCCATTACCTCTTCAGCCTGTCCCCATTCCTTTGCAAAACTCAAAACCTCTTCTATCCTCTGACCACCAAGTTCTTTTCCACGTGTCCTTCTTAGAAGCCCATGTCTCAGCATGAGTGAAAGACCAGAGCAAGGAATGCTGCCTCACCAACCTAAGGTTAAGTCACTGTGCGCCAGTTGCATAGATTCCCATTGTCAAAAGCTCAAAAAGCTCAAAAGCTGCAAGGCTGCCTTAATGGTCCTTGTGATACTCAAAATTAGGCCTATGACTGAAAACAGATTATCCAACCTCCTGGCTGCACCATCAGCAGATGACCCCAAAGGTCTAGGCAGCTCTGCAGAATCAAACCTTCACCCCACAGACAGAAACAATTTGTCCAGTTGTAAGTAGTGCTGCAAATATGCTAGATACTCAAAAAAGAGCTCCAGCCCTTGGCATTCCTTTTAAATTAAAATGACCTGGCTTTTCAAATGACCACAGAAGGTGCAATGCTCCAGAGAGAAAAAATATTTCCATACTAATTGATGTCTCTTTCCAAGGGTCCTGAGCATGAGGAAGCTGAAGATATCCACGCAGGCTTCAAAGAGCTCCTGTCTGCCATCAACAAGCCTAGAAACACCTACTTGCTGAAAAGTGCCAACCAACTGTTTGAGGAGAAGACCTACCCATTACTGCCGGTGAGCTGAACATTTTTGCTTAAAAAATATTCTGAGTTTAAAAGGTATTAATAATAAAGGAGATCAAAATTTTCCAAATGATAGCACTGCGGTTCTAGTGAGAAGGTGAGGACAGCTGTACTGGGCTAGTCTTACATGGACAAGAGGTCCACCTTGTCTCTTTTCAGCCTGTTTCTTGTTAGCATCACTGTTGGTTTGTTTTTCCTCTAAAGGAAGCTTCTCTGTATCCCTGGTCATCCTTCTTCCCCTTGTCAGTGGTACTTATACTCTAGCATTTCTGAGACGGGGAGGCCAGAACTGCACAGAGAATTCAAACCACAGGCACACCATGGCTTTACAGAGCAGCATATTAATGTTTGTCCTTTTATTACTTCTTTCTTTCTAACTCTTCAAATTATATTTGCCTTTTTGACCATTACTGGGCAGGTATTTTTCACACAACTGTCCATTATAGCTTCAACACCTCATTCCTGAAGTGTAGTCATGCCCTGTATACTACCCTCCACTGCATTATTTACAGATGTTTCAGTGTGTATATTGGAATGTAAATATTTAGATCTGTGTTCTATAAATTAAATATTTTAGCACAAATCTCATCACTTATCCCTATAGAGCTCCAATAGTAATATCCATTTACCATGAACACTATTTCCTCCTCCTGTTGGTTTTCATTTTTTTAAATGGACGAGATCTTTCTCTGTAGTCCCATGGATACTCAGCTTCTTCAAAAGTCTTTGGTGGGAAGTCTTCTGAAATGCTTTTTTTTAATCCAATTAGGCTGTCATGGCTTAACCTTCTTACCCACAGGCTTCCTGACACCTTCAAAAAAACTCCAACAGATTTGTAATGTAGAACTTCCTATTACAAAATGCTGCTCCGATACATCATGCTTATCCACATGCCCGCTAAACCTATTTATTCATGTGCCCTGTGGGCTTATGAGTTTGTAGTTCCCTGTATCTTTGACATCCTTTTAAGAAGTGACATTGCATTAATCATCATCCAGTTTCTTGGAAGGTGGTTTTAAATGAGATTACGGTTCTTTGATCTTGGAGTTTGCTTCCATCTCCTGAGTAATTAGCAATTACTCAGTCATTAAACTAAATAAATCCTGATGAATGCATATTGCTCATTTTCTCCACAATCTCATGTATCTACCCTTTAAGACTAATTAGAGAATCTCCTGCTGGGAATCTCCCTGAACTGTCTCAGAGAAGACAGCAATGTAAAAGTCAATTCTAGTTTTCTGCCACAATGTTATCCTACCAGAACATTCCTTTTATGCCTGACCCTCTATTGCCCTCACAAACTCTTGGCAGGTTCCTTGAGTCTGAAGTAAATCTAAAAATGTTATTTCAACTTTGTATGAGGCTATTCTTCCCTCTTGTACTGCACTCTACATCACAAAGCAAAAAATATTTCAATGATATAAAAAGATCATTCTGAGAAATAACAATGATAAAAAAGGTGAAGAATGTTTATTTCATTTGATATTTCAAAATAACAAATTTCCATTTTGAATTTCAAATACAAAAACATGACTTACCACTCTCCATGAGACAGAAGTACTGAATTTTGATCAGTCCTTAATTAATATTTAGCACAGAATGCATCAGACCTTATTTTAAGGGTTATCTAAATTTCAAATTAACTATATTTTCACCAACTGCGTATTAGCAGATTGTATAATCCTTTTAAGTGATTATTTCCACCACTTTTGTAGCTTAAATTTTACTACATAAGCATTCATTTTCCAACTTTATCTTTCAGAAATTCTTAGAACTCATTACAAGGTATTACAAAGTAAAACCACAAGCTGTAAACTTTAAGACAGCTGCGGAACAAGTCAGAGCACAGATCAATTCCTGGGTTGAAAATGAAACAGAGAGTAAGTTAAGTACCACTCTAATGGCTTTTTCTTTTCTCATTTCCAAATCATTTGCATTTCCACTTGTATTTCTCCTGCAGCCAGGGATCCATAAGAGATGGAAACTCAGGGGAGGTGACAAGCAAACTGCAGTTAAGTGGCTTGAAGAATGGCTCCCTCCAAACCTAACTGCTGCTCTTTACAAGGTCCTCCCTTTCATCCTTCCAGCCATGGCCACCTCTGAATTATTTCTGTTCATTGGAGGCAGAAATAGATACTGAATGGCTCCACCCTGATTAATGAAGTCTTCTCTTCTGAATGTTTTAAACTGCGTGCAGCCAGCTTCACAGAATGTCCAAACTTTAACCAATTTCCAATGTCAACTACTATAAAAACTGCCGTAAATATATTTAAAAATAAGATACTTTTTACCATATATATACTATGAAAAATGTACAGGAAAAAAGTCTCCCGAGTGCACTTTTGTTAAATACATAGGCACAGAGAAAGCACAACTAAAACTGGTAATTCACACTGTCATACTGAAATAACAGTCCTATTTGTCTGATTTTGAAGGGAAGATCCAGAATCTGCTGCCTGCAGGATCTCTTGATTCTCACACCATACTGGTCTTAGTAAATGCCATTTATTTCAAAGGAAACTGGGAAAAGAGATTTCCTGAAAAAGATACTTCTGAGACACCATTCAGATTAAGCAAGGTAAATTCCTTCAGTCTATCTATTACTGAAGAGCGACAAACCTCTAAATATTTCACCTGCATTTCATACGCCACTGCAACACTACCTGTAGATAGGCACATGGTATAAACGCAGTGAGAAGAGCAATTATGAAAAGAAGTCAGAATTATTTACACAGATGCATGAGAATAAGATTTTCTCTCTAATCAGTAGCTCCTTGCTGCCAAAACACTATAGTTAAGTAACTTAAGCATAAGAAGAAATTTCTGTAAGTGTTGAGGTGCCATTTTCAAAGGGGACTGAGCTACTTCGGAGAGCAGTGTTTAGACACCTAGGTCTCTTTTATGCTTTTGAGACAGATAGTCTATAGCCTGAGTTCAAGCAATCTGAACCTACTGCTCTTTCCTAATGTACCCTTGCGGTTGTGCAAAACCTCATGTGGAATTTTCATGAGGGTTCAACATTTTAGCCAAGTGCGTGTCGACGATGTGTTCAGTATACACTGATTGAGCTAACTATTTAAACATTCACACACTGACAATTCACAGTAGCTCCCTGCATGAGTCTTTTTGGATTATGTCAAAGGCGAGCAAAAGGATTTGTCAATCGAAACACATACCTTGTTTGACATAGATTATGAGTGCAAATATCTTTTGTATACCAGGTGACTTGAAGCAATTGTGTCGATACTGTGGCTGTGTATCTGACAGCTACTACACTACACATGTGGTTTTAGGATTACTCATGGTACACAGCACATAGAGGGTTTAATTCACAGTGTATCTGATAGAAAAGCCTGCAAACAGATGAACTTTTGCACTTGTGTAACAATGGAAAGGAGAGAGCGGATGTATCAGCAAAGGTCTGTGAACATAAACACAGCTTGGGAATGCAGAAAATTGCTGGGTAATTTTATTCCATTTGCTAATCAAACCCTCTGTGGTTTGAGGAAGAGCAATAGCCAGCACAGGTCACAGATGTAGTTTAGAGGCAAATTAAGAAAATCAGTATTGTTTGGGAGTATGCAAAAGAGTTGATGGCACTCAAGGAAAGGAAGTCAACATTTCACCCCTTACCCTCAATCAACACATTCACTCCAACAGTGTACAGTCTGTGAGGAAACCTGAAATACAGAGAAATTATTTGCTTATCAAAGCTCACTCCTTGTTTTTAGAGTGAGAAATACATTACATGTAATTAAGTTAGCAGGTTGATAGCATATGTGTCTATATGAATTTTTTTTCAAAGATTCCATTGATTCTGGAACAGGGGCATATGTGACACTGTCTGAAGGAAACGGTACTGGAAAAATATTCAAATGTTGCTGAGTCTTACACTTGTTTCCAAATCTTTGCTTTCAGTTCAAGGAAGCAAGTAATCTTCTTCATTACTTCTAAGGAATGAAGTTGTACTACTGATTTTTTATGTCATTTTATTGTTTCACAGACCAGGACTAAGCCAGTACAGATGATGTTTCTGAGAGATACATTTTTAATCTTTCAAGAGACAACCATGAAATTCCAAGTCATTGAGCTGCCATATGTGGAAAATGAAGTCAGCATGTTCATTCTCCTACCAGATGACATCAGTGACAACACTACTGGTCTGGAGCTGGTAAAATTGACATACTGTTGCATCACATACACTATGAGACATTAATGGAAATAGATGAAAATAGTGAGGAAGAATGAGCTTCAAAATTATGGCAGAAAGGGATTTGCTGTGTATATACTTTGTTTCATAAGCTATAATACAACGATTTCTCAGCCTAGGATTCAGGGCATCTGTTAATGATGCGAACATAATATTATACTTGATACACCTAAAAAAGTATGTCCACACTACTGTCTTAGCCTATTTTGTATCTTCTTTTCTATTGCCAGAATAGCAGAACAAGGAAAGGGAAAAACAGATCTGAAACGTCATGCCGTAGAATTAATCTTCTGAAAGCTGCATTAATCATTTTATGTCATTTGCAGTCCAGATTTGCACCTGATACTTTGTGGTGAGGATTCTCAAACTAAGCACTGACTATCCTGACCCTCTAGGTATCAGCAGCCACTTATGGTCATGCCAGGATCGGTTTCAGACTCTAAACAGATCAGAGCAAACATTTTTATTTGTACCCAAGGTCCCATGCATCCTACTTACTTAGCACTAAGAGAAACGTCTTTCATATATACATATACCGAGGGCCTATTAGCATCACCATGACATCGCAAAAAAGTAATGCTTTTCACATCCGCAAAAAAATAAGGAACTATTCTGCAGGTTCACTGCTACACCTTACCACCTTTAAGGAAATATACAAGACTGTAAGTCACGCAGCACTTTGCAGGATCACGTCCTAAGAATACAGAGAGCATCCCAGCTGCGTACGCAGCTGGTAGCTGGACTTTATTTTACATCTTGATGAGTGTTATATCCTGGTGTGCATGTCTTCTCTTTGTCCTTTGCATTATGACTATTTTCTTCCCAAATTCATTGCAGGTGGAAAGAGAGCTGACCTATGAGAAACTGGCTGAATGGTCCAACTCAGACAGTATGATGAAAGCTGAAGTAGAACTGTACCTGCCCAAATTGAAGCTGGAAGAAAATTATGATCTTAAATCCACTTTGAGCAGCATGGGCATACGAAACGCTTTTGATCCAGTTCAGGCTGATTTCACAGGGATGTCAGTGAAGAAGGACCTCTTCATCTCAAAAGTTATTCACAAAGCTTTTGTGGAGGTCAACGAAGAAGGTACTGAGGCAGTAGCTGCCACAGGTGTCCTGGTGATGAGAACAAGAACACCTAAAGTAACTTTTAAAGCTGACCACCCCTTCCTCTTCTTTATTAGGCACAACAAGTCCCAAACCATCCTCTTCTTTGGCAGGTTTTGCTCACCCTAGTCAGCATTACTCCCTGCCCTGCAGAGCAGCAGGTAGTGGTTTGCCAGCTCGGGGTAAAACCTGATACTTCTGCTGCAGCTGGAGGGATACCTGGACCTGGACTCCTTCTCTATCAGACCACGCACCCCACAGCCTGAAGCAAAGCTTCTCCTTTTGCTTCTCCTACACCAAAATGATAGCTATGACAGTGTCTAGGGGAGCACGCAATGCCTTGTGTTGCCAGAGCAACCCTGGTTAGCACTCAGATTAGCCTGCTGGGGTAGCTCTGTCCCCCAGCCACTATCAGCTGTAGCATTGCCATCCCCCTTTCCCTCACTGTAGTGCATGCAAACGTGAGGCCCAGTCCTCGCCCTCATGACTACATCCTGATTCAGACTGCAGTAAGTGGTCTGCACTTACTTCCACCTTGCTATAATTAGCCCATTTAGCCCTTGATTAGGTCCCTGCATTGCAGCTATGGGCACCCCTCCCCCCAAAAAAGCTAGCCGCCCCTCTTGTTTCTTACACACACCCCCAGACTTAAGTCTTCGTCATCTCTGAATTTCACATCAACACATTCTTCCACAGATTGCCTCGAAAAATAATTACAAAAAACCACACCCCTGTAAGGGCTGTTTGCCTCACTTAGAGCTATGGGCGTGCCAGAACCACGCTCAGCCTCTGGCTACAGCAACAGCACGTCTTTGTTATTAATAATAATAATAATATCGCATAATGCTCATAGCCTGATGGTGTTTTCTGTCAGTTATACGAGGAGAAGGGGAAGAGGAGGTAGGAAATAAGTAGCAAGGCAAAGCCTGCGGAGATGTAGGGGGGCTGCGGCTAAAATGGCCGCTGCCCGCCCGCGGCCATAGCGGGAAAGGGGCGCAGCAGCACAGCCCCTAGCAGCAACCATGAAGGGGGCCGTGGAGGCAGCCATGGAGAGGCCGAGCCCCAGCCCCTTTCCCCGGCGATGGGCGGCCCGTGGCCGGGCAAGGCTTCCGGGGGAAGGGCGGAGCGGAGGCTGGGGAAACGCCGGTGGCCGGCCGGCTGGGTGAGTGGGGTGGCTGCTGCGCTGTACTGCTTGCTACGGGCAGTGTGCGTTGGATTGTTTTTTTTTGAGGGGAAAAGGGGATTTTTTGGCGCCTCCACGAAGCTCCTTTCCCCTCATGGATGCCTGTGTCAGCCGGGGAGCTGCGGCTTGGCGGCCGGCTCTGTACCGGTGGCCGTGCCGTGGTGTCGCCGGGGTGCGGCCACAGGGCGGTGGCCGGGGCAGAGCCGCAGCTTGCTGGGGCCGGGCGCCCCGGGGAGCCCTGTCAGCTCAGAGCAGCCTTTCCTAAAGCACAGGAGACACGATTTGGGGTCAGGACACCCCAAAGTCGCTGCTGCCGGCACGGTGCTGCGTGCCCAGCCGCCTGTCAATGGTATGGTGTGTGAGGGGGTTGTGGCAGGCAGGTGGAAATAGACAATGCGTGCTTGTCTCTTGGGTGTTCTTGTTCCTTACCCTGTCTGCATCGTCTCCAAAAGCCCTTTGTTGGGTTATGTTACATTTCTTGAGCTGTGGGGAGAGTGTGGATAACTAAAGCTGCCCCTCCTTGCCCTGCTGTTGCACAAACTGCAAGGAACAGCTGTTGTGCTGTTCCTTGCAGTTTGGATAAAAGCACAGATTTTGAGGCAAAGGGTGTGAGATGCATCGTTTTGTCTGTAAAGGTTTGCCTGTCGTGGAAAGCCTACACAAACTTCTGGCGCCTGCAGGCCGAAAACCTCATTGCTGGCAGTCTGACAGCGAAACTTCTGGTCCCTGGAATAACCAATGTGAACTGAAAATGCAGAGTGCCTCCTACACGCTGTAAAGCGCATGTGGTTACATCACTTCTATTTCAGGCAGAATCAGAGGATAGTTTCAATCAAAGTTGTTTTTTTCCTTTTTTTTTTTCATTTGTGGGAGAAGAGAGAGACCAGAAAGTTCCTACTGCTGTCTGTAGTAAAGCTGCTAGCAAGGATATTTTTATAGAAGGAAAAGAACGCGTACACAAACTTGTCCTTTTGTCCTATTTATTTGATTCGACGAATCAGGAATATGGATTAGGTGTTGGTTTTGTATTTTGTAGCAACATACCAACACTAGGCACTGCCTCAATAACAATAAAAACGCACATGCAAATTACTATCAGTTGATACCTTTCAAAGTGTGGTGATACTTACTGTAGTTAATCCAGACTTCTGTCATTTAATGCTCTTTCTATAGGTGTGTGATCTAATGTCAGGTTAGTTATCAGTCTGTGCAGCTGATGTACGTAAAGTCTGACAGGTATTGAGTTGCATATGTTGGAGCATGCAGGTACCATCAAGTTCTCTATGACCAGTCTATTTTATCGCACGTATTTCCGTGTTGTAGACAATAAAAGCCAGGCTGCAGTGGACTTTGATTTTTTTTTTTCTTTGTACTGCAGCAGGAAATTGCACTTATTTGTCATGCTGAGCAGATAAATTTCATTTGAATCTTGTAGGTCAAGTCATTCAGCTGACTTCTGCCAGGCTTGCTGTTAGGTATAGAATACAGCTTTTGCACAAACAAGTACACTAAAGGTATTACTGAAGATACACAGACTTGGAGAAGGTAAGTTTGGAATTCTGCCATTTTAATGTCATTTTGCATTGGTTATCCTGTAAAGCAAATAATTGTCGTTGCAGAGTCAAAGGAGACTTGTTCTAACAAATGCTAAACAAATTACTGTCATGAATGCACATCTCAAAGGTAGTATGTATGTAGCATTATTTAGCCAGTGAATAAGCCCAATGATGCCAATGGGAATCATTTCTTCTACTACAAGTCCGGGATTGAAATATAAAAGCAATAAATCCACCTAGTGCCTAGTATGGGATTTAAGATGTTTATTCCACCAAACCAGTTTTTCATAATACTATACCCTAACCAAGATATTTTGTGAATCATTTATATTGGGAAACGTAAAACACAGAAATAGATTATCAGTTTGTATTCAAATAAATTTGAGCCGTTCTTTTCTTTTTGTGTTTTGTCTGCTAGGCTCTGAATCATGGATAGCCTCAGTGCAGCAAATACCACTTTTGCGTTGGACCTCTTAAGACAGCTGAGTGAGAAAAACAGCACACAGAATCTATTCTTTTCTCCTTTTAGTATTTCTTCTGCTTTGTCTATGATTTTGCTGGGTTCAAAAGGTAACACTGAAGCCCAAATAGCAAAGGTATGTCTCTATAAACTTAGTGCACTGAATTTGATGAACAATACGGACATATGAACAATAAATCTGTAGTATAGTCTGTGACCTCCACTTATGTTAAATTGTTGTAATCATTCTGGTCTTGGAGAGCAGAGGTCATCCTGTGGTATGTACGTAATCAGTACATGTGTTTTATTGTGCTTGTGTACTGGGGGGGCAGATTAAGAGGTTCCTGTTCTTATGTTGTGTGTGTGGGGGGGTTCCTTTTGGAGATAGAGATCTTCCTTAATATGTCATTAAGAGGTATCTGGGACTTTTTTTCTTGTAGGTTTATATTTCTGTAGCTAAAGGTGAATCTCCAGCTACATAAAATATTTTTTTTCTCTATTATCTTTTTTTGGGCTTAATATCAGACTATCAGACTGTGCATGTTTCGAACATGTAGCCAGGAACTTTTTTTAAAAAATAAAACTTTTGCTTTGTTTTAACTTCGGGTTCTTTTGGTCTCTGGATTTTAACAGAGTTTTTGCTAGGTTTTCTAGGATAGGGGTTATAAATACCCATTTTTCCAAGAAGAACCTTGTGCAGCATTAAGAAAAAGGCAGGATGTATCTAGACTCAGACTTCTTTGGGGACTGGGTGGATTCCTTAGAAAGCAGGGAGGTTGGACCAGATGGCCTCCAGAGGTCCTTTCCAACCTCAACCATTCAGTGGTCTTCTAATGCTCGGATGGAGTGAAGGAACCTAATGCTGCCCTCTTTTCTGTAACCTTATTTATTACTTGCACAACTTTTGAGTGGGTACATCATATGTGACTTGAATGATGAACTCCAAATAGGAGATATGATGAAAAATCTGTTTTCAAGTCACAATGTTTAAGCCCAAAACTCATTAAAAGAAAAAAAAAAAAACACACACAGCACAGTTGTGGTGAAGAAATTGTTTCAAAGAAGACATGGACCACACTGAGGATATTTGTCTTTCTACAGGTGCTTTCTCTGAACAAAGCTGAGGATGCTCACAATGGGTATCAGTCACTTCTCTCTGAAATTAACGATCCAGACACCAAATATATCCTCAGAACTGCTAACCGACTTTATGGAGAGAAGACATTTGAGTTTCTCTCAGTAAGTAAACATTAAATTTGTGGTGTTTTGAAGTATAATGTACTTGCTAGGTATTCCCTTTGGAGGTCAGACAGAGGCTTTGGATTTTACTTTCCAAGTTTTTATAAGTTGAGACCTACCAACCTGAAAGTTAATGCAGAAGACTGGGTTCTGAACTAGGTGGAGCAGATCCTTTTAGGTGACCCTGTGATCTGAATGCATAACTGGTGCAAAGCACTATAAAATCCAGCAGACTCTAAATCTTCTGGGTTTCATCATCCATTCTTTTTGGGGGTGCTATGGGCCAAATGGTTTATGAATCTCTTTTCCTTTGATCATATGTAAATATGGTGAAGAATAATTGTTACTGCTGTCCAGCATGGAAAGTATTTGGAGTTTCTTTTCTCTGATAAGTAAGTCATCCAGAGAACATACTAAAAGGAGTACATGACTTAATATTTTCCTTATCAGAGTATGTAAATAAGAATAATAGGTACTGTTATGTATGGTTCTTTAGGTGCTTTCCTAGCATACATATGATAAAAAGGGATGCATCTAGTTTTGTTTTTTTTTTCTTGGGAGTGATGAAGTTCTATGTCTAAGAACTTCTGCAGAAAAACAAATGCTGTTATGTTGTCACTATAGTACTTCCTAATTTACAGGTGTTTTTAAATGAAGAATGTTAGTTTTGTTCCTATATCATATTAGAATTATGTGGATTGTACTCTGAATTTTGCATCTGTGAATAAAGATCTAACTACTTAACTCTGAGAGAATTTTTCTGTTCTCTAAGAAAAATCTGTTTCCCCTCTACCCTAAAAGTTTTCATTAGTCTGGGAAGTCTGACAATGAAGTTTATGTAGAGACAAGTTTATAACATGTGTTTTCTCACTCAAACAAAAAGAATAGACATTTTAGGCACATCATTTCTCAGTTGAGTCTGTAGAACTTTGTAGCATATAAAAGAAGTCATTTGACTCAAATGGGAAAATAATTGCTAGCTCCAACAGGTGATACAACAATTAATAGGAACATGTCATACAAAACATTAATAGCTTTATGTGAAGCTGGGGGAGGAGAGGGAATATTTTTTTCTGTGTATTTAAAAATAATCTGTTACTGAATGTCAGTATAAATATGTTGGTGAAAAGCTGGTTTGAATGTTTCTGGCAGTCATTTGTAGAATCAAGTCAGAAATTCTACCATGCTGGACTAGAACAGACTGACTTCAAGAATGCTTCAGAGGATTCCAGAAAGCAAATAAATGGCTGGGTAGAAGAAAAGACTGAAGGTGAGTGTTTTTGCAGAGCTCCCTGCTGCATTTAGCAGCAGTCAGGGCTTGCACAAACAACTAGTTCAAG